CTCAATTTCTCAGAGGCTTGGCTGGCTGGTTTAGGTTCGTGCTGAGAATAGATCCAGTCCCAGTAAATCAAAAACACTCCGAGCCTGAAAGTGGAAGTTCAGAACTCGGACCCCAGAGCATTCACCAAGGAAGGAGGCCACCTAACCAGCTCCCACCCCTTGGTGCCAGAGAACACACCTAGTCAAAGTCCAACTTCTACTTACTTAAATCTCTGAGCCTTGATTTTCACATCTGTAAAATGGGAATGGTACAAAACTCAAGGGTCTTTTGTAAGGATGAAATGAAATAGATGTTTGTGCGAAGTTCTCTGCATAGTTGCTGGCATCTAGCAGGTGCTCAATAAGTGTTAACTCATTTCTCTTTTGTCTCTCGCTAGTGATTCTGAGTAACTCACTGGGGTCACGGTAAAGTCTCTGAGTCTGTCTGCAGTACAGACGGACTCAATGAAAAAGCCTATTCCAGGTTCAAGGTCCTTTGCCTAAGAAGAGAGTCGGGCTAATGCGGGAGTCAGGCAGGCCCGACTGGGAAGCAGAGCCCGCGAGTGCCTCGGGAGGAAGGAATTCCACCACCAGCAGGCTTCAGGGAGGCGGCCTGGGAGCTGTGCGAGGTCGGGGCCGAGTCCACGCAGACAGGGCCGAGTCCCCGGAGGCAGCTGCGGAGGACTCCCGGCCAGTGGGGTCTCTCCTGGGAGCGTGGCGGGGCCAGACCCAACGGGGCAGCGCCGCCTGGCAAACAGCCGGCTCCCCAGCCGGCACCCAGGCTTCAGAGGCCTCCACCCTGCCAGCCACGCTCCCGGCTCTGTCGGGAAATCCGCCTGACTTCCTGCGCCCCGGGTCCGACGTCCCTGCTCCAACCCTCCTGCCTCCTCCTCTGGCAGCCGAGGCCTCTCCGCCTGCTTCACTGAGGAAAGAGCCCTCAGCTCTGTGTCCTGCCCCCAGGAAGGGTCTCCTGCCTCGCGGGCTCGGGTCCCAGCTCCTCCCCGCACTTTCTCTCTCTCTCCTGGTCATTCCTGCCGCAAGTAAACAGGTGCCGGAGGAGCCCGTCCTCTAACGGAAGCGTCCCCGGCCGCACGTTTCCCCTCCTCACAGTCAGGCTGCTTCTGCGCATGCGCTCGCCCCTCCCCCC